GCCACATTTTGATATTTTCATAGCCGAAAGTCAGTTGAACACAGGCTGTCACTGAAGACTGAGTATAATAAAGTTGTTGAGTACCCCAGCCTTCTCCTCATCTGTAGTTACCAGTTCACCAGTGTTTATCAGGGGGCTACTGTTGTTTATCAGGGGGCTTGTTTAACTTTCCTTTTCTGGTTTACATACCAATAGAAGCACTTCTTGTTATTATTGGTGTCCCTTGTGAGGTTCAGTTTCAGCTCTGCCTTAGCCTTCCTTACCACAGCCCTTAATCTCTATACTCTTCCCAGGTTACATGCCCTTGTCTCTACCTTCTGTGCATTTGTCTCTTTACCTAGCTTGACCAGCAGTTCCCTACTCAGTCTCAGCTATACCAGTCTCTTGCCTTCCTTGTCCAATTTCTTGCTCCTGGGGATTGCCAAGTTGCCTTCCTAGAGGAACACCCCATTATTCTTTTCAGACATTTCCCTGCTGTTTCCCTGTGGTTTCTGTTAGGACTCCCTGGCTCATCTCCCTAAGACTGCAGCTATGGTCCAGGATGGCTAGCACAGTTCAGAGTCACTGCAGACTCTGTCTGCAGTGCTTGTTAGCACTCTTGTCCCTCTATTTTCATGTCTTCTCACATCTGCCAGGGACAAGCCTCATATTGCCCCTCACATCCCCTCATATTGCTCCTCTACCCCCTCACATCTAGTTCAAAGTCCTGCCAGGGAGCCTCACTAATTCCTGAGCAAAGGGTTTCTTCCACCACTGAGAAAGACAAATCCTGTCTGACGCCAGCATGCCTGGGGCTGTGTAGAGCAGTTTTGTTGTCAAAACCCCCAAAATTTTGATGATGACACCAGCCATGGAGACATAGATTCAGTGTGTCCATTTCTTCCCATGTTGCTGCCTTCAACTGTAACAAGAGAGGAGAATATGACCCACACCCCAGATTCCCTTCCCAAACACCTGAAGGCCCAGAAGTTTTTGATTGCCCTTGGACTATGTGCTGCCCTTCCCTTGGCCCCTTATGTGGCACATCAGGAGCGGGCAGCAGTCTGAGGGCCATGCCAGGCTGGGAGGTGTCCTGGTGATGCCCGTGACCCAGGCCCCAGGAGGCAGCACACCCTGCTATGGGCTAGGCCTGGTCAGCATGCTGGGCCTGCTGCTCGCCATGGGAGGGAAATGCCTACAGCTTTAACCAGTTAAACTTTACCCCATCATCTTGATGATGAGTGAATGTTTTGCTCTTTAATTCTCATCAATATTAGCAGAAATCTGAGGTATTTTATCTCATCACACATCACCTGGAAACGTGGCAGCAATGTTCACCAGTACAAGCCCAGGTAATGCAGTGATCTCAGATGTGAATAAATGTACAGATCCTAAGATTGCAATTTCATTTGTAGCATTAATATCTTCAGTTGTTTCACTTTGAAGGTTATAAAAAAAATCAGGAGTTTACCTTTCTTTGCTCTCTGGCATCCTTTTACTGGGATAAGGCCTGTTTTGAAACACAGGAGTGCCCCTTTGAGGGTTCCTGTACCTATAAGGTTAGCTGTCAGCTAACATAGTGCATGCATGTGAATGGATATCTATCATTGCTTTCAGAGACTGATTAAATCTTCTTTGACATGATTTAAGAAAAATATGGATGAGGGATGAGTTTGGGGAAAAGCCTGATAAAAGTTCTGATAGCAGCTTGTTTTGAAAAAACATGAACAAATGAAGTAGGGATTGTTCTGCATTTATTGTAAACATGTCCTCTTCTCTTTTGCTCTATGTTTGTCCTAAACTATGGCCTAAACCATCTCTACAAATGCAACAATTTATGTAGTCCTTTATTTTTTTAAGCTGTATACCTATGCACATTGTTTAAGTGCCAATGTAGTTCATCCTTTGATTTTAGTAAAACTACTTGTTGAACTTCTGGAACTTTATGTAGCTCTTATTTTCAGAAATGGACTTTCCTAGGGCACTTGTAGAAAAAGTAAGCACTACTTTCTCTTTCTGCATATTGATGAAACCATGGTTTAAAGGCAAATGGCAGCACTTTTGTGAGAGTACAGTTTAACAGAGACGGTGTTCCAATTAGAAATAAGGATTTCTGACTTGCCACATGCTTAAGTCGCTAACCCCACTGTCTTGTAAAGAGTTGGATAGCTCCTAGATGGAGTATCTACACTGTTCTTCCAACACCTAACTCCTGCTTAAAATCTCTGCAGTGTTGACTGCAGTTGTGCCTTGTTCATCGGCTTTGTAAGAAGACCATTCTCTTACACATCAGTTGCTTAACTAGCTGCTTTAGTACATTCTTCCTGTGAATTTATTTATATAATATAAAATATTTTAGGATCAATCAACAACAAGGTCTATGTCCACTTAGGATAACTATTAGTTATAGGAGAAAATGAAGAACTAAGACAATTCTTCTTTTAAGAGATAAGCAAGCTGAGCACAGTAATCCACTAAGATGTTTAAGTGACAAAATATTTATAAGAATGTTTTATGTTCTCTACTGTGAACTTCCCATCTTCTTAAATCAGCACAACACATTTTCCATAGAAGACAGAATCAAACAGGCCATGATTTTACTGTAAGGCTGTTACTAACACTTTGCCAGAAACACTATTTGAATAAGAAAAAACATTTATACTAGTAGACAGGAAAAGAAAACTCACAAACACCATTTTAATGATACCAGCTCTTGACTTCCAGCTTCTTGACTAATTTCTGTCATATCAAAGACAGACATTGCTTTCCACTGAGAAGCTTACCCAGTCTACACTGCACTGTATCAGTTTTGGTAAGGTAGATACCTATTTCAAAAAATTGTAGCATTCTGTCTCATGAATTCTGCTCTCTTCTTACGATGTGAGCCTTGGATCCTGATGCTGAGTAATCTGAAGCATGAAAAATCAGCCCTCAGGCTCACAGACTTTATGTTGGTTTACAAAATAAACAGTAGTTATGTGCTCTAACTAATTCAAATTGTATGAATCCTATGGAATCTATGGAAGCTAAACACTGAGTTATGTCAGCTGAGCCACTTCTGTGGGTACTCACATTTCATTCAGTAAGGAGATGTTGTGACTCAGGTTTAAGATAGTTGCCTTTAGAGAAAGGGAAATTCTAAGTGCTTCATACAACCTCAATGTTTTATGTTTCTTTTTCATACTCCTCTGGTGTTTTCTGCTGAAATTCACTGTATTTATTACAATAATACTTTCAGGAGACAGAGAATAAATGTACTGATATCTTACAAAAAGTATGACTTCTTTCTAATAGTGTCACTCTTCCTATTGTCACAATAATGTTCTTAATTTAATTCACATTAAAGTTCTCAATAGTCACATGAAATATATCTGGAGGTAAGAAAAAAATATCCATTTAAGTTTGATGTCATCCCGTCCTGGTTAAAAAGCGCAGGGAACTATAAACATCCTTTGATGGTCAAACTGAACAGCTATGTCACAGGGTGTTGTAAAACAAACAAAAAAGGAATTGATCACAACAGCTTTTGCTCTGATCCGGGATCCTTTCTAAACTATTTGGTATCTGGAACCTCTAAATCATATATGAAATGAAATATTAACTGTAAGTGTAAAGCAACTATAGATTTCTGTAGTTTATTGATTATCAAATAAGCTGGAAGCTCTATCCTCCATGCAATGCTTCAGAGTTGTATTTCTTGTAGGAAAATATGACTGTACTAAACACCTCAGTTCTGAAATTATTCACTATCATAAAATGTTTTCTTTTGGGAAAGAGTTGTGGCCCTCTTCAGACTCAAGGTATAATCATGTTGTATGTTTAAATTTTAGAGAATGGGGTTGCCATGCCACTCTGATGGGATGTTGTAAATCTTTCTGCTTTGATTTCTGAGACAGCAAAGACACATTGTGAATATGTTCAGAGGATGCATCTAAAGTAGCTGTATTTTAACTGTAATCTGATTTAGGTCTTATATGCAAAAAATTAATTTGGTTTCAAAGAAATTGCAGGCCAGTGGTAGCTGCACCATGGTAAGATTACACAGGAATTTGGTTTAAAAGGAATCCAGCATAATCAAATTCTACATGTGGTATCATTATATCAGTGAATGCTGAGGAACCCAGCCTCATCTTGCCATTGGTAACACTGGCAACAGGGAGTGGGGAAGTGTGATGATGAGACACCTGAATTATTTGGAGGTGACCCAGCTTTGATTTACATACATCGTTAGCTTGACACAGAAGTCAGTCTATTAAGTCCAACTGGAGGTCAGGGCTTGTTAGCTCTGATGTATTGTAAAGGTTGTCTGGGCTATGCAGTGTCTCAGTCCCAAGGTGAGAGGTCAACAGCTGCACTTGGTTTGTAACTTTGACCTCAGACATCTTGTATACTCTGGCCGACACATGATTTATTTTAAACTTTGTGAAGCTTCCAGGGCTTAAAGATGTTTTCATGAGTGATGGTTTTGTGAATCCAGGTAAATAGTATGGGACAGTTCATGTTAGTGAGCCAAATAGCACTGTGGTTTGCAAAGCATTTTTGTTTCTATCAATACCAGGTCAGGTAGTGATCAGTGTTCATTAACAGTTAATTTCTTAGCACTATTAATACTATTAAAATTATGATTTAAGGACGCAAATCGCTCCCAGGGTCCTTCACCAAACACCACCATGTGTAATTTATGTCCCAGCTGGTCAGAATTTTCACATAATTTTGCATAAGTGATTTTCTGTATATTTCTGAACATTTTGCACATGTAACTGGCCTGTCCAGTTCTAGAGGTAATGGGTGAAGTTATAGAGGTAATGGGCAAAGCTCTAGAGGTAATGGGCAAAGCAAACTCTTGTGTATGGGTGGACAAAGCAGACATGGAACCTTCTAGATGAGAAGAACTGTATCTAAGTGAAGAACAAGATTTATGTAAAAGTCTTGAAAATATTATTTAAGAAAGTTTTTATGAAAATCGAGGTCATACCCTAAGAGATTTGAGTTTGAATAAGGTTTTTTGCTTTGTGTTTCAGTGGCTGTTCCCTCAGCAGTGCCAGCTTGTGAGCCTGAGCCCAAAACTATCGGGCATTACCCATCTCCGCAATTCTCCATTTCCTCCCGGTCCACTGTTGTTGCTGCCATGGAAACCCCCTCTCAAGGCCGGCAGAAAGTCATGGATTGGAGAGCAGTGGTAGCCATCTTTATCGTGGTGGTAGTTTACCTAGTGGCGGGAGGACTTGTCTTCCGTGCTCTGGAGCAGCCCTTCGAAAGCAAGCAGAAGAACACAATCGCGTCAGAGAAGGCTGACTTTCTTCGGGAGCATGTTTGTGTAACTGAGTTAGAGCTGGAGACACTGATTCAGGTAGGCCATGTAAAGAAGATGGTACTTCTTGGAGGTTAGGAAGAACAGCTCAGTGATTTATTGACCAGCTGAGTTGGTGAGGGACAAAATTGTTCACAAAGGCCTTGGAATAAGCAGCATGAAGAGCAAGCTCTTTCCTAGTCATTTTAAGGTCTGAGAAGCAGAAACTATGTCTCCAAAATATTGTAAATATGGAACCATAGAATCATAGAATAAGCTTGAGTTGGAAGGGACCCATCAGGATCATTGAGTCCTGACCCTATGCAAGACACCCTAAAAGTCACACCATGTACCTGTGAGCATTATCCAAATGCTTCTTGGGCACTATCAGTCTTGGAGCTGTAACCACTGCCCTGGGGATCCTGTTCTAGTGCCCAGCCACCCCCTGGGTGAAAAGCTTTCTCCTGATATGCAACCTAGATCTCTCCTGACTCAGATTCAGGCCATTTCCTTGCATCCTGTCACTGGTCATGAGAAAGAAGAGACTGGTACTTGAATTCACTGGAATAATGACAGATGTGTGCAAAGAAAAGCAGAATGTAATATCTGGAAAAAATTTTTGAGTGAGGTGATAGATTTGCAAGACATAGGCCCTCATCTCTACAAATTTTCAAGTGGTCTTAAATTCTTGAATCTTTCTTCAAAATTAAACACAGCAACTGGGAGGGCACATAGAACATGATAGGTGGGATTTTTGAAATAAATATTCAGCCAAGAATTCTGAACTTACAGGTTTACTGTTGTAATTTTTAAATAAATGAAGGAGGATGAAGTATACAAATCAAAATAGAAAGTAATTGTCATTTAAAAGCTTTGGGACTTTTAGTCTGATGTAGTATGAAAAGTTTTATAATCAATTTTGAAGGAAATTATTATCAAGTTTGCAAGGATAAGTGGAAAATGTAATAACAGGCAAGAAAGATGTATTGCTCATTGATTAGAACTCTAGACAAGGAAAGTATTATGGATCTTACAAGACTTTAGTAGAGTATCTTCTGGGATTCCATGTGGAAGCCTATCAGTTAGCCCAGAGAAAACAAAGATTAGATAAGAAATGTAACATACCTGAGGAATATATTTAAACTTCAACCTCATATTTCAGATCTGAATTTGTGTCAGCCTTCCAAGAGCACTGTGTTTCCCTCTGGGGTGTTGGACCAGAGATCTGTTGTTGATTTCAGGCTGTTTGAAAGAACATGGATCTATCCCCTGAATTCTTGTGTCCATCCAGTCAGCTGTATTAAAAAACCCTTTCTGTAGGTGAATCAAATTTATAAACTTATTTCTTTTAATAAGATGTTCCAATATCTCACTTATGTGATAGAAAAGGCCTTCTACTTTTCAGCCTAAACTTCTTTGCAAATAGATGTGGTCTCTCCCCCTTGTGTTCTGTGTTCACAGTTCTGAGTCAAAAACTGTGTAGCTGAACCTGTACCTTTGGGCAGCCTAGTGCAACAACTAACAAGACAAATCTGCTTTTGCAGGAAGTAGTATTGCTTGGATCAGGGATGGCTTGGATCACATCCTTGATCTGTCTGCAAAAGACAGGTGAACATGTTAGGTTGCCAGGATCCAGGGATATTGGTTCAGATGTGTTTTTCTTGGCAGCATTGCAAAGATCTGTATTTCCCGCTACTCCTTAGAAATAATGATTAAAGGATGTTTTGAAAACACTAAATGCAAGAAGCTTTTATTCCCTTGGTGGGATTGTCACCAGTAAAAGATATGTAAAATACATTCATTCCAACCAGAAAGCAGAACTCATATGAGGTACAACCAGCAAAGCACTTCAGCAGATTGTGGAGTTCTGCATACCAACTGCAGTAGAAACAGACTTTATTCTCTAGCCTAAGTTATGTATGAACACCAATTCTTTATTTTACACAATAAAATAAATAAAATTTATTAATTTTATTAATAAAATAAAATTTCTCTTCCACCTCAAAAGTGGTAAAGAACACACATACTCTGTTATTAGAAGACAGATATTCTGGACAAATCTTCTTATCTTCTGAGATTTCAGTATGTCCTCAGGCATTACAATGGATAGTTGGAAGTCATAGTGCAAAAATAAATTAAAATGGGTTTAGCAGCTTAGGATGTGAATGTCTTAAAGCCGAATGATATGAAATATTGAAATAGATTTGTCAATAAAGAAAAAGTTTCTTTGGATTCTTCTGTATGTCTGGAGGTGAAACCAGCTTCAAGAATGTAGTTGGGTATGTTTATACAGAAGTGATTGTAACTGACTTGCACAGAATAGCAGTGAATGAACTTGCTTGAAGATAATGTCAGGGAGTTAACGCTGGGCTTCCACAGCTTCATGTTGATCATCTCAGAAGTGACATCCCCCTGGCTGGCCCAACACAGTTCTGCATTGCACCAAATGCTGCAACTGCCTTTACAGCTGTGAATTCAGACTGATGTGGCAACCTCCATGGGTCCTATAGCTGCTGTGCTGTGTGCAGTCTACTGCTAAGGGAACTATTCATAATTAATGTTATTTGAATACCTGAAAGCTCTTAGATGAACACAGATCATACTCTGCAGAATGACTGTGTTGATTTGCCTCTGTGCTTTGGAGAGTATGGAACAATACAAAAAGGGAAACCTTAGAACTAACTTGTATTATTTTACTGTGGGGATGGCTCTGGAGCAATCTTTTAAGAAGACCAATGGAGTACCATCATCCTTATGAGACTAATGATGGAGAAATGTATACCTTTTCCTAAATTTCAATCTTTCAAAGGATTCTGCTTTGGAAAACCTGTAAGGAAGATGTACAGCACTGTATGAGGATGCTGTTAAAATTTAGTGGGGATGAGAGGTCTTTTTTAGCTTTATCTCCAAAAACCCATTGCAAATATTAGCACTGTTAGCACAAATATAAATTGCTGAGTCCAGACTTGGAAGTTCATTCACAGACTTCAGAAGAAATATAGTGATGAAAGGAGTGCAAATTCTTAGGAAGATTCAAAGTATTTTAAATTTGTATTTGACTGTTGGATTTTGGTTCAGGTCTATCTAATACTCCCACAATGACAGGTAATTTTTTCATAACAATGTCCAGTGTTTCATAGTGCAGTCCAAATTTTCTAAAGCCACTTCAAGTGGAAGTTCTTAACTGTGAATTTTTAAGGCCCATTTCTGTATCTGAAAATATTTGCTGCAGTGAATCCAGTACACTGTTTAAGGTTGTAGGTGAACTATAGCTTGGCAAAATAGTGAATATGCGGTTAAGAAAATGAGAACATTGTGTGTTCTATCTCAATGCTTTTGAGTTTTCAGAGTTAGAGAAAATGAAACCTAGAACATGCTAAAAGACAATGAAACTTCAGGTTCTTTAAGTACAATTAGCTGCATTGTATTTATTAGATCAAATAGCAGAAGATAGCAGGACTTAGGTGACTGGACATAGAGTTGAAAAGAAAAGTAACATTGCTAACATACTACAAACCTTTTCTTTTTGTTTTTATGTATTATAAAATAATCTTATTAATAGCTGTGTTCAAAACCAAGTCATCCTGCCTTTGTAATAACACACACACAGTGTGTATAATGGGGAGGTTATGCTCCTCAGAAAGTTCAGATTTCATCTGTCATTAGGAGAGATAGGAAGACCATCTTTGTGTTTTGGCAGAGTAATTCCTATGGACCTGATAAGGGAATTCATACTGTTTCTATATATCCTGTGTACTGTATATGGGTAAAAAACTTCCATAATGCACCTTGCTTTCCTAATGAACCCTGCAAAATTATGCAGGATAGAGAGGCTTGCTACTTAAGAACTTACTTATGTTATTGTCAGTCTGCTTTCTTCTGCCTTGTCCAACAGGGTTTAATTTAGGAGTGTGAGTGATTACAGTATATATGTATATTAAAAAAATCACCCACCTGGTAACTAAGTCATATTATTGCTGTCCACTAATGACTACAGCAACCCATTAGAGCTAGACTGCAAGCTGGAAAAGAAGCAGAGCTGGGAATACGCTAGTCAGGCTTTACTGCCTAATTATATTAGTAAGAATTCATATCTTGGGTAGGCACTTTGGATTAGTGTTCTGAACCAGTTTTGCCCTGAAGGTAAGTAAGAAAGGGCACATCCTGCAGAGATGCTTAATTTTGCTGCTGCTTGGTTCATTAGTGTCATAAGCCAGCTTTTTTTCCAGGCTGTTTCCATGTCAAAGGAAAAGAATTTTCATGTGCTAGAAGAAAACTCTAGATAGTCAGGCAAAAAATAGTACTTTGAATTAACTATGGAGAAGACTTGCATGTTGCTGAAGACAAGAAAAGACTGTTTGTACTGTGAAGAAAAACAGAGGTAAGTATCTGATTATTGAACCTTCTACCTGTGCCTCTGGTGGTTAACTTGTCCCAACTTCCCTTCTGCCCCTATCTTTATTTTACCCTATTCCTCCTAAAAGGAAAGGATTCAGATGTCTTGTTTCCTGTCCTAGTTGGTGCAGGCACACTGGTTTGTAACACCAATCCAGAGCTGTTCCAGCTGCGTAGGAGACAGCCTAAGATGCTTCACAAGTCTGCAGCTTTCCCATAGCTGTGCCAGCTACAGGACTTCCAGAACTTAGCTGATGCCTTTGCAGAGAGCTAAACTTTTTGTACTTAGTTCTCTGTGCATATTGTTCATTGAATGCTGTAGGTCTACCCTCAGACACAGTGCATGCATGACTATCAAATCACTCTAAGTGAAGGTAGATCACTTTCTGGCTGATTGATTCCTAAGGCCCTTTGTGGGATAGACAGAAATATTTAAGGAATGGGCTTTGAGAGCTTGTTACTTTTGATTAAATCTGAAAAAAATTGCTTTCCTTGGACCTTGTTGTGGAAAAGTGAATAAATGTGAATTTATAATGAGGGTCCCTATATACCATATAAGGGGTGGTGAGAATAAGTAGAGAGTTAGGGAGTATAGGAAAAAAAGTTATTAAAGAATTAGTTTTTAAAAGCTTCTTGCTAATGAGAAACCTCCTAATAATCCTTACAGAGAAATATCAGAGCATGAAGGGCAATTGAAGCAACTTTTTGTATGCTTGATAGGAATCTGCTTGGAAAAAGAATTGTAGAGGGAGATAATAATTATTGGATTAGAATGATCTGTGGAAAGGAATTAATAGAGATAGGCAAAAAAAGGACAAGAATTTTCTTTTCCTATCAAATTCCTATCCTTGATATCACATAGGGTAGGTACCTTTTTGACTGTCTCATCACTTGAGAGGGATATTACTCTTGCCCTTGAAAAAGATTTGTCTTCTTCATACTTGGGATCTAACTGGAGAAATTACAGAAACGTGAACAAATGAACCAGATAAAAACCTTTCTTCATGGAGAAACCAGAAACAGTCTATTTTGCTTCTCTCTCCTAATCAGCTGCACTGGCTTCCAGCTATCTGGATGCTTATGCAAGTGGAATTGATGAAATAAGTGTACTTCAGACTGAGATATGGTTTGGTTCCACTCTCTTTGGGAATACAGGATTCAATTGTCCCAGTATCACTACAAATTCTGGGCTTCTGCTCTGAGGTTTGCCTTTGCAAAATGCAGACCATGCAGACCATGTCACCGGGCCACGTCTCTTTTGTTACAGAAGGACTGTACGGATACCAAAGGGGCCAAGAGTAAATGATATGCAATGATAGGGAGCAAACCAGAAAGTTGTGATCAGAAATACATGTTTTAAAAAACAAATAATATCATGTAATTTTATTAATTTCAGTAGTTTTGTCATTCTCTTCACTTCTACCTGTCTGTTGGCTTGAACACACATCCATTACTTGCACATCCAGAAAGACAATTTCAGCCATTTGAGGTATTTCAAATTATTGCCTTCCCTGAAATGGGTGGCATTTCAAAAGAAAAAAATTACCATAAGTTGGTAGTTATTCAGTAAAGAATAACTTTCAGTTAATAAACACTTTCAATTAATAAGCTATACTGAAAAAATACTGTTTACTTGTATACTGTGCTTGTAGCTCCTCTGGAGAAGGAAAAAGGGATCAGGAAAGGAGCAAGTGTGAAACAGCTTTGGGTACTTTCATGACCTGTTACTTTCAACAATACTTCAACTATAAAAGTAGCTGAAACTACCAGTTTAAAATATCTTAAATTTGTGGGGCTTGTGTTTAGCAAACTGGAAATTATCTTTTTTTCCTACTCTGAGATAACCTGAGGATGCAGCTCTTCAGGTCATTGCCGAAAAGCCTATCTGAAGCTTCGATGAGAAACTTGTAAAATTTTGTGGTCTATGTGAACTTGGAGAGTCTTGCCAGTAATAGTATAATTGTTTGAATTTTGTGTCAGTTTTCATCTAGCAGGATAGTTCTGTGTAGGTGGACTTGTGGTGGTAGTAGTAAGGCATCCTTTTCTCATGCATGAGCTGAAATTTGTTGTTTGACTGCTGTTAGCTGCAGGCTGCTAGCTGCTTTTGTTTTGTTGCTCTGTTTTTGTCCTCCATCGCTGTATGCAAAATACTATGTATTAAAAGACAGCATTGGAATAGTTGGTTATTTATAAATGAATGATGTCAGTGAAGCTTTAAAGAAAAATTAATTTGTTTGGGATGATAAGGGAGTCTGCGAATCTCAAAGCTATCTGAGGCAACAGGATACACCTTCACTTCAGGGGTTAGTGCTTGGCCCTGAAAGACTTGTTAAACTGTGTAAACTCAAGTGTGATTTAAGTGTAATTAGCTTGCTGACATTCACACACTCAAGGGGAGGGCAGACAGCATTCCTTGGCAGAAGTAACCAGGGTAGCTGACAGTGTGTCATGGCCTATTTAAATGGGCAACTTGTCTGTTATGCTGATTTATGCTGTTCTGCAGAAACCAGGAAATGATCTCTTTCACACCACCTGCAATATTCCAGCAACAGGTACAGTTGCTGTAAAACCCAATGGGTTTGGTCCAAAACACATCTGTCCTCTATATCCTTATTTCTTGAGGTATGGACATGTGCTGAGGAGCCCTGGCTTTCTGCCCACGTGAGATGAAACCAGTCCAGCCTGGAGCTTGCTCATGCTATAGTTTCAAAATCAGCTTAGCCTGGCATGTAGTAGATGTACTTTTAAAAAGGGCTGTCCCTAACTGATCTCTTCAGATGTAGCTGTCTCTGTTCTTGCCCATACGCCTCTCGTCCCACTCCTTTCCCTTTTTGTGAGGTAATGATGAATAACTAAAAGCTGGGAAGCAGATTAGCTGAAACTTGCCCAGGCTGAAAAAGCAGTAGAGGAACATTTATGACCGTGAAGTCACTTGGAAATAAAGACAAAAAATGAGTGAGAAAAATGGAAGTGGAAGAAAAGAAAAACTGTGGTTAATAAGCCATTGGTGGAAACATTAATGATGAAAAAAGTGTATCATGAAGGCTAGGGAGAGAAGTGATGTTAAATGGATGAGTTTAAAAGTCAGTGCTAAACCCACAAGAAAATGTGAAGTTATGGAGAAGATCAAGAGAGACCTCACAGACATGATCAGGTAAGAAGTGGGGCAATGGTAAAATAGAATGGCTAATCTTGCTTTGCACATGGACTGTATAAGAAAAGGTGAAATAGAAGACCACCATGACAATTCATAGATCATAAATCAGAGAGAAAAAAGAACTAGTTAAAGAAATGGAATAATAAAAGTCAAACCTGTGTTGATAGGTGGGAATGCCATGTTGAACAAAGCCAAAGAAAAAGAGGATGCAAGAGGTAGCGCTTTGCTTCACTTGTTGAGCCCAGCAATAAGTTCAATGAAACTACCAAGGCTAAAGATTGGTGGCACTATTTAGGAGGAGGAACAAATAACAGGAGAAGGAGATGGTCTGGTAGTAATGTGAGCAGCTGATAACAGCAACATGAAGTGAAGTTGGAGCAGAATGGGAGAAAAGCAAAAAGCTGGAAATGTTAGGAGGCAGAAAAGGAGGAGCTCGGTTCCTCTACAGTGCAGTTTTATGGAAATTAGACTCGAGAGCATTTGGAAGGGAGAAAGGCAGTCATTTCAACTGCTCTTCTAGAGTGAGATCTGAATTTCTCTATGATGAGGAATAGCTTGCATGAGATCTAAAATCAACTGCAAAATACGTTCTGTAGGACATCTCAAAAATCAGTTTAGAGTAATTCAGGTGATTATACCAGATGTTGACAAGGGGTTTATTTCTGTGCTTTGTAAGCTGATGTATTCAGCTCTGTCTTCCTTTGGACTGTGAGGCTGCAATGAAAAGTGAATGTGTGTGTCCCATTATACAATATGGTGCATTTTTAGAAATTCCCAACAAACATTCAGGAGGCTGATATGTCTGCCTGATTTGATTCAGTACTAAGTGGGACACAGGATAGTGACCAGGAAGTATAGCTATCTCAGCTTCTATCCAGAATATACTTAATTCAAGCACTGTCTGGGGGTCTCTGTATCATGCTGTATTTGTGTATATGGGATCATGTGTAGTGTGGAAACTTTTGAGCTGATCACAAAGTTTTTTTATGATGTTTCCATAGGTATCTTATTTGTTCATTTCAAACAGTGTATATATATATATATCTCTCTCTCCAATATTTTTTTTCTTTAGTTATCATAAAATATAAATTACTTAATCAATTACTGATTGTTTGGGAATTTAAATCCTTGGCTGACTAGCTTCTGTTGATTTCACAATCATTTGTATTTACCACCTTTCTAGCTGCTTCTAACATGAGCTGTTCAATTGAGGAAATTTTCCTTTGGCAGTAGTTGCTACAAGAATGATATTTATGGACGAATTTGTGGTGTTGGTCCTCCACTTCTCAATTTCTTTCTATCTTTTTTCATTTGTTTATGCATTGTATCTTTCTTCTACCTGAATGGATATTCAGTTCAGTCATATATTCAACTTCCATATACAGAAGAGGCTACTGTACTTTGAGCACATATTAAAAACTTAAATTGAAGCTGTTTCCATGGTCCTAGAAATTTCTCTTTGGACCCTATACCAAATTGCATAGGATACAGTAAGGCATGCATAATGCTGATTCTTTGTATTTTCTTTGCAGCATGCTGTTGATGCTGATAATGCAGGAGTCAGTCCCATAGGAAATTCTTCTAACAACAGCAGTCATTGGGACCTTGGAGGTGCCTTTTTCTTTGCTGGAACAGTCATCACAACTATAGGTATATTTATTGTTTATTTTTTAAAATACATAGTCACACTGAGACATGGATAATGAAATCTATTTGAGGAAGGTAGACAACAAAGAAGTAAAGTAGCTGAAGTATATTTCTCTGTTAGCAGGAGACATGACTCCAGCATGTGCCAAGGGCACTGAAGTCTTTGCGTAGGTGTCAGAAGCTGTTTACATTATTAGGGTAGAATAGCAATGCTGAGCTGAAAACAGGCAACACTTATGCAGGCTTTATGACCCTATTCTTGATGTAGATGTAGATGGTCTCAATTTTCACTAAAAAGATCATGAAGCTGTACCAAATGAAATATTTTATGATTGTTGGGAATTTAAATTGGATTTTAAGATTATAGATGAATTTGCTCAGAAGTATAACTTTCTTCCTAAGTACATTAATTAATTTTGGCTTATGCTCTGAAGTTTGATAGAAGCAATCCTTCTCATTTAACTGGAAATATAGTCTCATAACTATTACATCCTTTTTAAAATTCTTACTTGCTTTCATTAACAATTGGAAGGAATTCCACAAATGACACATTGTGTAAAAAACCCACTTTCTTTACTTTCTGGAATTCATGGCCTTAATTACTGACACATTTCTCTGGGTTAAATGAAGTATGAAGTACTACTCATTCATATGAGTACTGAACTACTCCATTCACTTTTTTTGAACCACTAATTTTAATAAGATCATTATTCAGGCCCTTATAATCTCTCTCCCCATGTATTGTGTCCAATGTATTTAGAATTTGATCTCTGAATGTTGGCCTCAGATATGCTAAGGTTTTTAATCTCTCCTCTCTGAGCCAGTTCCTCTCTTGAAGAATGCTCAACAAGCTTGGATTTCAGAAGGCAGTCTGAAGGAAAAAGAAAATAATCCAATAACATTGTTGATAATCTGCTGACAATTATACAGTAGTTTTATAATTTTAAGCATGATTTCAGTACTGTCATAAAAATCAGATCAAGAGATCTAATTATTTGGAAATCACTGGTAAATTGTTGATTTTTATTTGTGTTTTCTATGAGTATTATTCTGATTTAAATATTGTATAAAGTGCTTCTCCACATTACAGCTGTGATGCACACACTGGTGACAGTACAGACAAATAACTTGATAATCACATCACCCTTCAATAAAGAGTGAGAATCTGACTAAATTCTGTAGGTTTTTAATGCAGGTAATACAATAACAACAGCAACAAAAAATCCTGTGGCAGTCAAAAGACTTGCTGTGGTGATCATCTCTAGCAGTAGAGTCTGTGTCTTTGGCTCTGCCTTTTCTTTGCTGTCAGAGTGAGGGGGAAACAGGAATTGTATAGAATGAACAATCTGTGTTCCTCTATATTAAGCTACCTTACCATGTATTTTTGATGGTAGCATAAAACCAGCGGGTGGCAAGAAAGAAAACATTTCTGATTCATACGTAAGAAAACCCCCCCATAATATTTGTTTACACAACAGACCCAAGTGGCAAGCTTTTAAAATTACTCATTAAATAAATTCCACTTTGTAGGCATAGTTTATGCAGGCATATTAATTTATATCTGCCATTTAAATAACTTATTGAAAAGACCTTGTATTTTTGCCCATTTTTTGCCTATTTGTTTTAAATTCTCCATGAATGAGAATTTTATAGGCTGCACAAAGTCTGTGTATTGTGTCAGGGCATGAAAATGGTTTTAGTTTATCCACCAGAGGCTTGTTAAGGCTCCTTTTAAGCAGAAACACAGCAGGTTACCTGGTCAGCCTCAGTCCAGGGACCCATGGAACCTGAAATTTCTTGGAATTTTAGGAGAAATCTGGGATGATGGGTCCACCTGTGAAAAGGCCAGTAGGTTATGAGACATGCATTATTGTGTGTCAGCCTAATTCTTGCAGCATGCCATGACAGAGAGATATATCCTGTGCCAGTGTTGTGAACCCAACAGGAATAGGACCTGACACTTTCATAGATTTCCTCCTCTCTGGATGCTTTATTGCATCAGTGATTTGTGATTATGTGATCATTTTTAATATTTAAGTAATTATGTATGGTTAAAATAAAAATGTCTATGACATTTCAATTAAAATACCTGATCTTAAATAAAAAGGTGCAAATATTACTGTCACAATTGTTTTTTCTTCTCTTTAACATTTCAGCAGAAATACCGTGTCTCCTGGAGTCATAATGCTTACTGAAACAAGAGTTCATGGGCAGATTTGCATAGTGTGGGTACAGTTTGGAGGCTGCACTATAACTAGTCAGTGTGATGAGGGGCTGAGGAAAGAATGAGCCTTGCCAGGTGAATCACACTCCTGTCAGGAAACCATTGGCACAGACCCAGAGGAGCAACAGCATGCAGGCACCAGGCCAGTGTGGAGGGATTTTTATGCCGTGACATCAGCTAGATCAATTAAGCAAACAGCAATTTTAGATAGACTGAATCTAGAGAAAATATGGGTAACTGAGGCTTCAAGAAAAAAAGAATAACAGAGTGTGACTTGCCCTGGAAATTACATCATGCCATTGAAAGTCTAAAAATTTGAATTATAGGTGGAACAGAGGTATGCCTGGAGGAAGAGCAGTTTTTTAAAACCCATTAGTTTGTTTCCTGAAAAGCCATGTATAAATTCTGAGTCTGACAATTGTTTTTCTCCTCAGGATATGGCAAGATGGCCCCAAGCACTGTTGGTGGCAAGGTTTTCTGCATCTTGTATGCCCTATTTGGGATTCCACTCTTTGGCTTCTTGCTGGCTGGGATTGGAGACCAACTTGGAACCATCTTTGGGAAGGGTATTGCAAGGGTGGAAAAGGTTTTCAGAGTAAGTTCACTGACATTTTTTTCTTGTGTTTTATAGCCTGCTTTTAATTTTGTTGCTATTACTTGCCGCATTTTTTACATGTTGGACGCCATGAAACATTTACATGTTTAGCTCAGATAATAGTTAATGTCTGTAAGGATCTCTGTGGTCAGTGGAGAGGAACATTGACTTCTCTAGATGATGATGCAGGGCTTATAGATCCAACTCTGAATTTCCTTATTGAGAGTATTGCTGGGAAATGTATCTCCTAAGTTAGTTTTCTTACAAGGAATTGTTGTAAAACAGTCTTCAAAACACCACAAGTTACTTTAGATATGTACATCTCTTCACTGAAAACAGAGAGAAGGTAATGGTTCCCTGAAGGAACAGAGATGTAAAGCAGGTCATGGCTGTGTTACTGGTACAGCCTAAAAGACTTGGAAAGCAGGGTTGCTGTTGTGTGTGTGAACTGGAAGAGAGACAGTTGAATGATATGCCTGCACTGCAGGGTGACAGATGTGTTGGAGCAGATCTGCAACTCTACTACAAAATATGTTGTAGTGGCACTGGCTGAAATCATGATCATTCTCTGCCCTGCCTACCATGAAGATATCCTACCCTAAATTTTTGTGTAGACTTCCTCATATGTAATTTCCCTTTTTGTTGCCAGTACCCTCTGTTTTTGAGTCTGAATTGCTGTAAGCAGTTCTTTCACAAGCAGTGCCACAGACCTGGCAAATGCTGTTTTGCTAACTTGCTAATAGTTCACTTCAGGGATTCTCTCTTTGAGGCAGAACTTCTAGAGGTGACCTGTGTGCTACTTCTGTTGGAAGTGGCATAACTGAAGGTAAGACTTTGCAGGGATGGAGTGGATGAGAAGCTGCCCAAGCTGGTTAGTTTAACAGACATCTATTCCTAAAACATTCCCACAGGTGAAAGCAGAGTAGTAGTAACTTTTTTTGGAAGGAAGTAATTAAGTATTAGACTGAGGAATGAGGACTTTCTATCTTGATTAAATGGCTTTTAGGTGTCCCCGACCAGGCAAAAAGAGTATATCAGAATAAATGTAGAAAAAGATGACTAGTGATTATGGGTGAGTAAGCATGTACATGCCTGTCTGGAGAGCACTTCAAGGGTTATACTTTCATTTAATGAATATAATGTTATTAAAAATGATCTCTGTTCAATTTGGCAAAAACGCAGCTAAGATCCCTAGTTTATTTTTTGTCTACCTTTTTATTACACCTGCTTCACTTCAATGGAATCTCTGAACGTTCCAGCCTGCTTCTGCTCAAGAAAAATTACTATCTTGAAGTCACGATATGGATTTAGAGTCAGAAAATCTTTGATTAATTGTCAGCTGAGTATTGTATTTCTGAGTGACATGCACAAGACCATTAAACTGTTGCTATGATAGTTTATGATTAAAATAATCAGAGAATCACAGAATAAGTGGGGCTGGGAGGGACGTCTTGACATCAACTAGTCCAGCCTCCATGCTAAAGCATAGTATATACGCTACTTGAAGTATTTTAACATTCACAGATGAATGTTGATACTAATGTTTCATACAAAATATAGCCCTTCAGCACATAATGTGAGTTATTTTGGTATTCAAAGTATTCCTGCATTTTCCTGAGTTAATGCAGTTGCTTGTTGCTTATAGCCATCCAAAGTATTTGTTTTCCTTCTTGGTATTTTGTCAGCTTCCAAAGGAATTTAGAGATTGTGGTCCTGTTTAGCCGAGATGTGTGTTTAATTCCCTTTATTTTGATTGTCATAAATCCATTACATTCCATTACATCTATTATTCTGTGATTTGGTTAACAGGGTTGTACATAATTTCTTTTGTTACTCTTAGTAATGAGTTTTGGCAATTTGAAATATTTCTGATAGAGTTTAGAATTTACATGCATCTTAGGAACTGGTAATCATACCAGTGGTTTCACTTTAAGTGATTATTTACATAGCATTTAGCATATGCCGAATATAGTAATCATTATAATTTTAAGTACTATGTAATTTATTATCACATTGTATTTACACTGTTAGGCTTCATAAATGTTAGGACCTAATCAGATGAAGCCTCAAGTAGAGTAACAATTCTTGATTTAATACTGAGCACTGAGCAAATTTTAATTCAATGTGTAACTCTTGTCTCTTATTTTGTAACCGTCTCCTAAATGAATTGAAATTCAGCATGTTTGTGGGTGTAAAACAGCCTGTTACCATCTTTAAAGAGAGGACATAAAAATTAGGAGCGTAGCTACCAAGAAACTAAAAGGAACAAACATAGTCTAAAAAGACACTGAAAAATTTAATAAAATGTTGGGTGGTGTGCCTGACAAATCTTCCAGAGGTAGCTGAGAAGCCATGGAGTGCATCAATGCTCTAGAGAGAGTACAAATTAGCTACCTGTATTATTTGTCCTCACAGACAATTTGGGACAGTTTCTTGTGGAAAGAATGGGAAGAAACTTAGCATGTGTGTAATGCATCAAATTTCCATGTTGATATGTCTCAGCACTCTGCTTCTGTATGTGTCCAGTGCATTGTGGTTAGGATCATTTTTGAAGCTAGGTAAGGTGTGGTATGCACACACTGGTAGGTGACAAGGAGAGAATTTTCTGTTGTCACTGGCATCCTTTCACCCAAAGCAGTTCCCTAACAGGAACTCCTCTTCCTCCATCCAACAGTGAATCTGTGAGCATGGAGCTCGTGCCACACTAGGGACAGCCTGCCTCTGGCATTCCTCGGCATAGCTGGAAAGATGGAAGGGGGATTCCTCCCAGAGGACTTGAGCTAGTGCATTTCTGTTGCCTCTGACATGACCTGTGCAGAGCCCTACTAAACCTACCTTAATTAACACCACAAATTAGAGCATAGGAATTTCAAATGTAGCTACTGCAGTAATCAGCCCACGCATTCTGTGGGATTTTTAAGAAAAATTTGAACTACATAAAGTGAGAAAAAAATCTGCTCTTATCAAGTACACACTAACCCAACAGTATTGACAGAATATTTCAGCAGAAGAGCTGGGCACATGCCACCACTCATCTTCTAATCCAAAATGTTACCATTATATCAGTGTGTAACTAGCCAGGAAAACATCTACTCATTTATGAGTAGGTAGGGCTGGAGGTATTTCATTGCAAAATAATGCTTTGTAAAAAATAGAACTTTTCACGTACCATTTTAGGAAACAGAGGCACTGGCAGGATGATGCTATCCCAAATAAATCCAATAGTTTATACCATCTGTCCTACTGGAATGATTATATTTGGTACAAGTAAATAAGCATCAACCAGGTCAGAGATGTAAACCAAACTTCCCCCACAAAAGCTCTGTCTTCTCAGCTCCTGGTTATTCCTGTATGTTCCATCTTCAATAATCTAGGGCAGAGCCTGTCTCCCAGTCTGTTTTTACATGCATGCTAGTGTGATTCCCCAGAAAATGAGTATGTACAAGGCCACCAGGTTCACTATATACACTGGTAACAAGCATCCAATTTCTAGGTCCAGTGATGTATCAGTCCTCCCAGACCACCTCAGAAAAGCACATATACACTCAAAATTTAATTTAAAAGTTGATAATTCTTATAGATTGTCACCCAGTGAAACTTTCCAGACACAACAGAAATGAAATATGAATTTCATGGTGACATAATGCCATAAAAGTAGTATTTTTATCTTACATACATGAGGGATCTTATGAACAACCTGTGAATGTTTCTATAATAAACAGTAGAACAAAGCTCCATTCTTTTGGCTTGCTCTGTACACACAGTGTGTGCAAGCATCTAAAGATAGAAAGCACTCTATAGGCAGAGTACACTGTTACAGAGCACAGCAGCTGCAATTATCATGAGTTAAATATAGGCTAATTTGGATAGTTTTTTTTCAAACCTTGAACGAGTGTTTGGATTCTCACCAGAAGTAGATGGATAACCTGAGTGATCTTCCTCTGCCTTGCAGTTTATTACAGATGCAGGAATTCAGCCTGGGCACAATATGTTTCTGAGAGCACTCCAGGATTTTCTGGCTTCTGAGGTGGAGCCACTGTGAGCAGTTCCTGAGCTCGGTTGCTGCTTTCACTGCTCTGATTTCCAGCAGGACACAGAGGACAGGTCTGGCAACACAGCTGGTAGACTGTGAATTGCAATACAGGGTGTGAGCAAGCAGCCAGAGACATGAGTGGTGGCAAGGCTGCACCACTGAAAATACACTGCTTTGTGCCTCTGTAAGCAACTTGTGCTTCACTGAGCCAGGGACTTATCAGAACAGACACATCTGTTACTTCTCTTTCAGGTTTTCAGCTTAGAGAATGTTTTGCTTTAGTTTTCAGAGACATGCTGTGAAAGTGGCCTACACTTAATATTTTTATGAAAGATAGCAGTACACATCACCTAACCTTGGAATTGTCCTAGGAAAAGTAATTCTTAGTTGACAGATGTGTAATGGGGCTGGCATAGCAGTAAGGGTAGTCCCATTGAGCTGGTGGAAAGCTGTCTTTTAGCGCCTATCAAATCTCTACCATTCCTAAACTTTATTATTTGTCTTTCTGAATACACCTGATCAACTCTAGCTACTCTTTCACTTGGCTTCTCTGATCTCTTACTGCAGAAGTGACAGGAATTGTTTGTACAAGTTCCTTCCCTGAAAATGAATGAAAAACAGAATCTGGGAAAACAACTAAGTATTAAGACAGTAACTGTGTAGAGGAAGAGCACTTAAAATACAGATTTTTCTTTATAGTCTCCCCTCTGTTCATGGGTTTACTCTGTTCAAGACAATCTCTTTCATTTTGTTTAATTACATTGCATTATTAGCCAGCGTCAGTGTGTTATTACAACAGCTGCTAAAAACCAGGATATTAATACTTTATCTTTTATTTTTTTAATCTAGTGTTATTCATTGCTATTTTCTGTAAGGAAAAAGGTAAAATTAAAAAAAATTATATTCACTTAACAACTTCCAAAGAGTAGCTGTCTGATGCAGTGATCCATCTGCCATCTGCTGGCAT